ACTTAAGTGTGCTTTAATATGTCATAAACGCATTAAAAAAAATTCACAAAATGGGTATTTAGTCTTTAAGGTAACGCTAAAGAAACATTATTATTAAAAATTAATTAATTAAAAAGGTGAGCTTTTCTTGATATAAGTATCATCAATCATGATAAATTTGTACTCCAACTTTATTTAAAAAAAAAAAAAAAAAAATTAATATTTGTCAAACATAAAACAAATTTACACTATTTTTAATCAATACAAGGATCAAATGCCCCCAAAATAAAAACATTTATCCATAAATTTTTTATGCTTAACGCCTGTCATTATCTAACGCTGTATTTAATTTTATAAAAGTAATTTTTTACTGTGACTTTTAATAGCTGAAAAAATGTTTAATCTTTAATACTTCATTATTAAATCGATACATATATATATTAATTTATTACCACTAATGGACGAAGGTGATTAAAATAGCATTAAAAAAGTATTAATCCTGTCACTCTTATCGACTTGAGTATAAAAAAATTTAATATTTATTCCTGGTAGTAATTAGCGGTCTCAGGAGAGTGGATTATATTTATATATTGTTAATCAATATTTAAAGTTTCTCATAACTCCATAAAACAAAATATAGTTCTTCAAACAGCTCTGGACTTCCTTTATACTTTGAATAAAACAGTTTTAGAATTTTTAGGAATGTCGCTGGCACTTTTAAAGTCGTTTCAAATACTTCAGATACTTTCCCTATTTTAATAGAAACTTTCAGACAATTACTAAGTGCTTTTGAGTGTACTGAAATGTTTTCGAATTAGTTTGTTATTAAATTTTCATTCTTCAAAAATTCATTTCTTGCTTGTTGAATCATGATCTGTCTGTAAATAATTTTGGTATTTTTTCAGATAACAATTTGTGTAGAATTTAAACAATTAAAAATTTTTTTAATTAAAAAAAAAATAAAATTTTTACAAATATTTAAAATTTTAAGTTAATGTGAAAAATTAAATTTTTATAGTAAAAATTTCCGAGTATATCTGACGTGGTTCATTGTATTGTGTATATGAAAATAAAATAAATTATGAATGAATGGAAGATAATAAATTATTTCTTATAAATTGATAGTAAATGACAAACAAGCAAGTAATAAATTGCAGAGTCATTGACCCTTTTTATATTCTATAAAACAATTTAAGATTTAATCATGTGGACACACGATTAACTATGATAAAAGTTTAAGCTATATTTTCAGGATCGCGTGATGCATTCAATGAACTTTCAGTATAGAATATACATAACATAATAATAATAAAAATCACGTTACGTTATGGATTATAAAAATGACGGAGTTTGAAAGTGGAAAATAAGTCATGTTTAATAACATCTAAAAGTCTCATGGTCACATTGACACGTTTTAGACTCAAACGTGACATTAATATAAATTCTCACGGCAAATAGATATTGGGTTTACGTGCGAATCAATGTGTGTAATTGTGTAGCATGTGGGAGTGCTGGTGTGTTTGTAAATGTAATTCTAAAAGAATATTGATAACATCAACACAACTGCGGGCAGTAGAGAAACTAAAGCGCATACTACCTGCGGAGTATAGACAAGACTATCAATTCCAATTCTCTCCGGATAACAGTGATTAAAGTAATAGTGTATAAAGCTTACAATAGCTATCAAAACAAAGAAGCCTATACGTTACAGTATACACGGATATTAAATTATCTGATAAAAGATTTCATTTTTGTTTCAACCTTATATCCACAAAATTTTATACTTAATCCCATTAAATCACGATGATTCTATTTACTTCCAATCCTAAGTCAATAAATCAGACCTACATTGACTCTAGATACACTGGAACTTTTTTTAAAGCTAACCAATGCTACTGCGGTGAAAAATTTATTTTATTCTCTGTATATGTATTCAAAATACAAATATGCTCGATAATTTTCCCATATATCTCACTTTTTATATCGAGTATATCAAAATAAATGCGAGCGCGAAAAAATATGTCACATAAATGTCGCGTATATATATTTTTATACCGGATAAAAACCGGACCAGACTTTAGTCCGGGATTTATCTCCAAATGTTCTGTAATTTCGCGAAAAGACTAAATAGCGGATAGAGAAAATCCTTAAAAGGTTTTTGACTGCTCTTAGCAGTTATCAAAATATTAAAGATAGTGAACAAGGTACTTTTATAATTCACAAAAAGATAAAGTTGATCTATGTAAGAATTCTATTTTGTACGCGTTCTTTATATTTTTTGGTACCTTCGTATGAGAATTTTACTCGGGCTTTTCGTAGATCGCAATTATTTTTTTAAACTCAAATAGAAAGGCTGCTTGAATTTTTTTTTACTATTTTTAAATTTTCTATTCTCCTCGGCTGTGCAATAAAAACTTTTTTTTTTAAATATATTTTCATAGCTAACTTTTAGCTGATTTTCGTATATATTTTAAATATATTGAAATATTAAGTATATTAAAAATTTATGTATGAAAATATAAAACTTTCATTAAAACCATAAAATATTTCTATCATATTTTTGATAAGTATATTTTTTTATATATTCTTGCCACATATTTATATTGTATTTCAATTATATTTTAAATTAATAAAATAAATACGAAATCGGCTAAAAAAGCTATTATAAATATATTTTTTATATACTTTTACATGTTATTTATTAATTTGTAAAATATTTCCCCGTACAAATTACCCACATTCATTATTAAAATGAAATCAATAATAATGCAGAAATGTGGAGAGAATGTTTCGCAGAAAAAAAATAATTTTATATTTTTAATATAACTTATTTTCATGGATAGTATTTAGAGATTGTACAGAATAATGAACTTTCCTTAAATTTCGTAAATCATGTTACGATTACTTTCAGAGTTTATATACTTAATCGCAATTCAATTAGTGGTCAAACTGCCAGAATACGTGTCTTCTGTTCTTTACAGCCCACCGACACGAGTTATTAGCAAAGAGATTAAAGGCAAATCCTAATCTAAAGTATATCCCTTTCGAAACTTTCCAGACTTATCAAATTCCTTACAAGAAACATATATACCAGCAAAACTTCATCCTATAGAACTAAACCAATAGTTTAAGCTTTAAATTTGAAGCGCGTATTCATTTGCTACTTTTGTCTATAAATTGCTTAAATAAATTGATATTCAAGTTTCGCTTTCACAAAAAAATTTAAAATCACATCAATCTAAGTAAAATGTTATTCCTTCAACAGCAAAAGTATATTTACAACTTTTAATTAAATAATTTTCATTAAATAACCGAGAAATCAAAAAATGTAAAACAAAGCCCTTTTAATCTGCGGCCGGCATAAAATAAATGATTAAAAAAAATTTTAATTACACGTTAAAATAAAAAACCCGAACTTTTTTTTTAACTTGGTAAATTTTATAGCGGGTAATACCCGTTAAATTGATGAGAAAATAAATATTACATGAATTTCGAGCTAACAAGTAAATCGCCAGAGAAAATTAACAAAAAAGTTTATATAATAATAATGATAATGAAAAATAAAAAAAAATAGCGTTAAACGTAAACGATACGTCGATCGGGATCGGGAGAATGTCTTTTGCCGCCGGCTCATTTATCAATAAATAATTCACATAAAACTGGCGGATCCGTGACGAAGATAAGTTCCTATCTATTTATTGTACATACATGTATATATATATATATATATATATATATATCGAAAGAGCCCGGGAACGTCAATATCATGGATTAGCCATTGCAGTCGTGACAGAATAGAGACACATAGAGAATAAACGAACAGCAATGCATACCGCAGTAGGAACAAAACATAAAAAAACACTTTAAATAAAATATATAGTGTATAGAATAAAAAAACCCGGGAGTCTAGTATTAGTTTCTCAATAAAAAATATTTAATAAATGTCAAAAGAACTGTCAATTAATAAAATATAATTAATCGCCAGTAGACAGACAGTGAGTTTGAAATATCTACCAGTTGATTATTCCATAGGATTTAATTTATTTTATTTTTATCTAAAGACAACACCATACCAACAAAGTGGGTTGCTATGAAACTGAATAAGTCACGCAGGTGCACAATCGCGTGAGCATATATGAACTTGTTATATGTATATATGACGCCAGAGTTTGTTCAATGCTGCATCGATCGTAGCTTCCTTTTCCGGTTCTCTTATTCTTGCTCTTGTTCTATATACTCGTTTTTCCAATTCTTGGCAACCAAAACTAGTACATGGTCCACCATCTTACGACAATTTACCATGTCTGACTATTACTACGTTTAAGTCACTTGACTTTACTACTGGTACTGTGTGCTTCGGAAAAGCTCGCGGGTTTTCTTACGGGTTAACCTCAAAAGTATTTTATCTTGCGTTACCGGGCATTCCATAGGTTGTCTTGGCCTCAACTTGTATTGATATTCCCGATCTACTGGTATTAGTGATCTGATATCCCACTGGTAAATGTGGGAGTACCAGGAGTACAGTGGAATTACTTACTCAGTGTCCTAGTACCATCCACGCACACTCGAGTGTACTTACAGTGTACAGTGTGTAGTCTATAGTCTACAGGATAATACTATATGTGATAGTCGGAACGCGCGCTTGTCCAGACCAACAATCCATGCTCATGAGATACTCGGTATATAACAGAACAGACTGAACTGAACTAAACCTTGGTAGGTTCTGAATCCGTACTATCACTGTTTATATACTATTACTATTACTGATACTATTATTGTTATTATTATTACTATCACCGGCAGAAGCGGTGTACTGAGAAACAGATTAAATCACAGTTAGGAATCTAAAATCGATATCAACTCAAAAGTAATTATTAGCCGATTAAGAGACAACTTGAAAATACATATAATACTATGAGAATGTTCATCATGATCTTTGTTACTTTGAATTGAATAGAGTGAGCAGTTTATCAGAGGATAAATTGGATTCGCCGTTTATACAGTAGACATTGCTTTTGTGGATTACAGATAACAGCAGTGAAGGAGATTGTAAGAGTAAGAGCATAGACCGAGTTACTGAGTACCAGACTACCAATGGTGATTGTCATCAAGAGATCAAAGTAACCAACTCCAGCTGTTTTGGTATATGGCCTTTTTTAAAGACTTTTTCACAAGTTAAAATGGGATGTTGTGGATGCGGTGAAGATGACTCGGCGAAAATTGAACCTGGGGTAAGGATTATAATTTATTTACTAGCTTCTAGACAGGTAATTACGCGGGATAAGCTTCAAGATTGTTTTCTTTAATTCATTTATTTTCTTCTGGAAAAGTTTAGGGAATGAAAAAATTTTTTAATAACTATTTATTCCAACTCGAATTTTTATAAGAAACTGTTTACTGGTTTTTATTTTTGTTGAAAATAGTTAGAGTTTAATAATTGAGATTCTTGACCAATAGTTGCTGGTGAATAATTTTTATCTATTTATAACTATCTGAAAATCGATAAATATAAACCTTTTATCACACGCGCTAAAGATCTTAACGTTGTCACCGTTTCGCGCAATCCATTTCAGTTCGACAGTGTTGTCGAATTTATTTTAAATGCAGAAAATATTATATAAAATCAAAATTAACTATAACGATATATTATTTTTGATAACTTTTCAATTTCAACAGAATTTTTATTTTCAAATCCCAAAAATATTTAAATATTTACTATCAATCTTGCAACATTGTAAGAAAATTTTTAATAAATTTAAGGCAAAATAAATGGAAAATTTTGGCCTAGAAGCACTTTTAGTTTTCGTAATATTTCATATATAAGTCAATATGTAGTGATTTCTTCAATAGCGCGAGTGACGAAAAATTAAAATTTTAATATTTTCAAAATACCCGCTTTTTTAACTTTTGGAGTAAATATTTCACAGGTCAAATTAAAGGCAATTTCATAAACTTTAATCTGCATTTTTCAAACATAAGTTATCTCTTCTGAATCAAAGGTTATTCACTGATGAAGTGACCGAAAATGCAATTTTCACTATTTTGAAAATTTTAAATGGCCACCAGTTCTGAACTAATCGATCGATTCTGCTTTGAATTAATTTGAGATATTTGTCCAAGAAATAAGTAAACCAAGTTTTATTGTAATGCATTCAAAATTTTGGGTGGTACCACAACCATAAGTTAATTATAACTCGCATCTACTTAAAACTGGTTCACCATGACTCTAAACCCAAATAAAATAGCTAAAAATGATTATAAAGTGAATGTTTTATAGGTCAAATTAAAGGTCATTTCATAAACTTTCATGTGAATTTTTCAGAAATTAGTTATCTCTTCGCAATCGAAAATTATTTACTGATAAAGTGACCGAAAATGCAATTTTCATTATTTTGAAAATTTTAAATGGCTGCTATTTCTGAATTAATCGACCGATTTTACTAATCTTCGAACTCATTCAAAGTATTTATCGAAGGAATAAATGTACCAAGTTTCATTAAGATTCATCAAAAATTGTGGGAGCTATCGTGTCCAGAAGTCGCGTTATATATAGGTATATACTAGGGTGGCGCAAAAAACCGACTATTTTTTTTTTTTTGAGTCTCGAGTGAAAAAATGTTAATTTTTGATGTTTTAAGAGCCCTCTCCAAAGGGCAGCTCAAAAAAAAATTTTTCAGAGGTTACTCCAAATTTTTTTAAATTTCAAAAATCGTCAAAAATCGAATTTTTAAAAAATTTTTTTTTTCGTTACGGTATAAGTTTATAGACCAAAAAAAAAATAAGTTTCTGAAAGTTTCAGTTCAAAATTTAAACTTTGAAAGGTCGCTCATTATTTCTTTTTTGGTCTCTAATTAATTATTATTATTTAGAGTCGATTTAACTGCTGTGGTCATATCGCCAACTTTAACTATTGGGAGTGGTACGTTGGGGTCTTTTTGGTTTGTGAAAATCTTAACCTACGCGGCAAGAGTCGAATCTCAACCAAGTTGGCTTCTAAGACCAGCTTGGGATTCGAACCCATGCCTGGCCGGTGGGTTATTGAAATATTGTTAAAATGTTGTAGTTGATTGAATAACATTATTAAATTAAAAAAAATTATGTTTTCTATATTGTGCTTGATTTTTAGTTGATCTCGTGGTGTATTTTTATCGATTATTGTACTAAATAAAAAAAAAATGCATGGAATTTCCATTTGAATATTAAAAGGTCGCTCGAAAAAATCCAAAGTAATTCACTAATAAATTAAAAAAAAATATGAGCGACCTTATAAAATTTAAATTTTTACCTGAAACTTTCAGAAACTTATTTTTTTTGGTCTATGAAATTATACCGTAACGAGAAAAAAAATTACAAAAAAAAAAAATTCGATTTTTGACGATTTTTTAAACTTAAAAAAATTTGGAGTGACCTCTGAAAAATTTTTTTTGAGCTGTCCTTTGGAGTGAGCTCTTAAAACATAAAAAACTAACATTTTTTCATTCGAGACTCAAAAAAAAAAAATAGTCGGTTTTTTTGCGCCACCCTAGTATATACATACATAAACTTTGTTGCCAATGCCATTTTTGAGCCTTACTCGACTACTTAGGTGATTTTATGACCGATTTCTAAGTGAGTACCGACATAACGACTAATGCAATAGATATATATCTACGAAATCTACCTAAAGAATTCTACGTTTATATATTACTACCTTTAAAAAGAACTTTTTAGTTTTAAGTACCTGATTTTAAACTTCATTTTTCATTTCACAGACTTAGAAAAATTTTTCTCCGTGGAATAAACATATAGATCAGATAGCTTGTTTATCTATTCAACTTCAATCGAATTTCTTGATTCTCTTTATTTCGATTTTTCACTGAGATATCTGACTTTGAACGAAAAAGGATCCTTTTACCTTTGATCATCAATATCTCAATAACTAATGACCGCGTAACAATTCAAAGTTTTCAATAAAAAAAGTTTTCAATAAAAAAAATTTTATCATTCTTAAAATTAATTTAACAAAACTCAATAAATAGATTCTGGAAACTATTAAATTCAAGGAATTCTTTGTTTCTAAACATTCTTAACCGTGTGTGCAGTAATATCATTATTTTGCTTAATTGTGATGAACAGCATATCGACATGCTAGGATTAACTTATATGCTTATCGAAGGGAGTTAATGTTTGTCAATTACATAATGCAGAGTTTTAACAACAATATTATCTATCAAAAGGGATTTCCAGTATTATTTTTACAATTTTTTATAAAATTAACACTCAAATAACAGATTAACATAAACAAATATTTTTTTACTCATTAAAAAAACTGAATTTTCCCGTGTTAAATGGTTATTTTAAAGTACATGTCTACCGGTCTCATAGTCATAATAATTTTAATTAAAATATGTGCGGTTGCGTTTGGTTGTACACTAAAAAAAATTAATTGTCTTCTTGATACAATGAAAATTTCCATTTATCGCTCGTGGTGTTAATATTATAATTATTAATTTTAGGAGAAATAATTAAAAAATGTAACACTGTCCACAGACAGACGAAGTTTACGATAAATTAAAAAAAATAAATTAGAATCAACTTAAACCATTGCGTGGTTGCTCGATGTCGGATTATCAATTTTTACTTTATCATTTATCAATAAACGCGACGATTTCGATAATGATATTTCAATGCTTTTTTCTTTTTGAGTGAACTTTTGATCTCTTCCAAAATTAGTTTACCGGTAAAATCACTTGAAATTGGGTTAAAATAAATATTTGATAAATTAATTTGAGATTTGACTTACTGCTATGTATTGTCAAAAGTGTAATATAAAGATGTAAAGTGAGTGAGTGCGAAAGGAATTTTTAAAATCTCTAAATACGTATTTTATCATCTTTAAATGAATAAAAACTATTTTTTTATTTTTATTCAATAAAAGAAATAAAAAATTTACTCCGCGGAGTGAAGTCTATTAATAATATAATTTAAATCCGTCTTGGAGTGAATCAATTGAAAATCATCGACTCCGCATTCAACCCGAAAAGTTTTTACAGTGTAACAAAGGACGTTTGTAAAAATTTCTAATTAATTGAAATTAATATAAGTTTTTCAAAATTTTTTTTTTTTTTAATTTTAATATTTGTCATAATTAAAACTTTTTTGATATTGACAAAAAAATTTTTTTCTTCAAAAACTTGAATGTTTTTATACTTATGAACAAAAAATTTGGCATATGAAACTCGTTTGAGCTAAACAAAAATTTATTTTAACCAAAAATCTCCGTAATCTGATATTTTTCAAATTAAAATCCATATTTTGTACCGAATAACTGCACAGAAAAAACAATTCCAGATTTACTTCGTTATTCAAATTTATTTTCCGGTTTCCGAAGAGCTGTTATCTGAGGTTTTGGCATTAAGTATGCGAAGTTAAAACTAAATGTAAATATATTTATCATAAAAGCCATTTAAATAATTAATTTATTCATTAGTACTTCGGTGGACAAAAAATAAAGTTAAACAAATTTTATTATTTAAAGCCTGTCAATTGGGAATTGAAATTTTTTCGCATTTATTTGACCCTAATTACGCAGTAACTAATTATTGGATTTATTATTATATTTATCGATTTAATTTTTTATTTTAAAAATAAACTCATTGGAGGAATTATTTAACTTTTAAATCACCATTAAATTACCATTTTAAATATTTATTTATTTCAGTAATAACTGAAACAAAACAGTTGAATGCAATTAAAAGCCAAAACATAAACATAAATATAAACATAAACATAAACATAAACATAATAAATTCGCATCATAGATATTTAATCAATTACGGTACCACCAAATGAAATATCTAACAAAATTAATAATTAATAAATACAATAAATTTATAAACAATAGCAATTAGTGATTGGGTATAATTATAATATTGCAAAGATCAACATGGTAACGAGACAGCGGCCTACGTCGGTTGGTTTATTCATGATCATCAAATATTTACTAGCAATTTCATTTCTAATTGTGACCTGTTGGATATATCAATAACCAACAGAATTATCTATCAGTACAATTGTTCTCCTCGTTTATTAGTACCACCGTTTATTAATGTTAACGCTTCTTAATTATTCTAACCTTTTTTTTTTTTTCTTTAATTTCTTATTTATTTCAGAGCCAAGAGAGGGAATTGTCATTCTCCGGATCAGAAGTATTTGCGAAAAAACGATCATGTACCGACCTTCCAGCGCTTTTAATCCTTATTTTGATCATTGCCGGCTACGTAATAATTTTATAATTTTATTATTTCTATTATTATTATTATACTGATTGAAGAATTTTTAATATTTAACAAACTGCATTAAATGTTAATAAATATACTTTTCTTCCAAAAAAATATTTATCAATAGGTAAAAAATGTTTTTAAATAAATAAATTAATTAATATTTAAAAAATTATTCTATCAGTATATTATTGTAATAATTTTTTTCTATTATTTTTGTGGTATCTAAGTTTTGACTAATAATTAATAATTAAGTTATAAACTACTATATTTTTATTTTATTCATTTTAGGGTTTTTTTGTTAGCTGTGCGGTTAAAAAGGGAGATCCCTTTCGACTTCTCTACGGATATGATGACTGTGCTAACGTTTGCGGTCGAGTTACGAGCAAAGAAACAAACCCAGAGTTTTCTTGCAAAGGTGCTGACATGAGAGAGCTCCGGTAATTATTATCATTATTATTATTATTATTATTTTTTTTTTTGGCGAGATTATAAATACACGGGTAATACTTATCTTTTTTGCTTTAATTTGTAGTTATCATTACGCTGAATTCGGAGTAGAGGGAGTTAAATCGCGAAAATGTATTGAAAACTGTGATCGCCTGGGAAATGAAACGTAAGCTGCTGGATTTTTTTACAACTAATTGGCAAAAAAATGAATATTATGTGAGGGATTAATTGTTTTTTCTTTTCAGAATACGATTTTTAAATCGTTGCATCGTTAAAACTAATGGCAATAATCCTACAAACGCTTTAATAAATAACTTGGGAGTTAAAAATTTTTTTAATGTAAGTTTATTATTTATATTTTATTAACATTAATTTGAATAAATTTAATTATTCTTTTTGATTAATAGCACAAAGCTCTAAAAATTGTTAATTGTCTTTTGTTTAAAAGTAATTAACGGTTTTCACTGGTAAATTGAATGCCAAACAGTACAAAAGAACGAATTAATTAAAATTTTATTTCCATGTAATAATTAATACTCGATTCAAATGATGATTCATAATTCAAGTAATTGTTTATTTATTTAAAATAAATTAATAAAATTTATGTCCGAATTCGCTATCCGTAAAATCAGTATATTAAATCCCCGTAAGCAAAAATTACTCGATATAAAACTATTGGGATATTCTTTGATTTATTTATTAAATTCATATACAAAGGAACAAACAAATAATATTCCTTTTATAATAATATTAAATCCCGAAACCTTTGTAATTTACATAATTTAGTTTTTCATAACTGAAAACAGCGCATACAATAAACTTTGTTTATTACAAATTAATTTATTAAAAATACTGAACATTTGAAGAGAGAATAAATTAATACCTTTAACTTTAATTATCTACAATTAATTAATCCGATAAAATATTGAAACATACGAATAATAAATTTATTATTGATGTTATTATCTAAAAATATGAAACAAATAAAAAAAAATTTTCGCGTCATTTTTTATCATCTATCCAATCACCATTTAATATAATTACGAAAGAATAAAAGCCATCGAATGTTCATCTTCGATCGAATAAAACTCGATATAATAGAAAAAAAAAATGAATGAGTATATTAAAATATTACTGTCAATTAAAAATGCAATTTCACATTGACAATACGATTACAGGAAGCCGCAAATGATTTGAATATTGCATGGAGAGAATTGATTTACCTGCTATTAATTGCTCTGGGTAGGTAATTGATTTAAAATATGCATTAATTGCTATTACGTTTTAAATAATAACATATATGTATCTACGTTATTATTCAAAATACAACAGCAGTAATAATAGTAATTTTATTCTGTTCTATATAAACTCTGTTCTTTTTTTTAATAACCGCAATTTATGTACAGCATCATCCCTCGGCATTCTGATTGCTTTCCGATACATCGTACAATACGTCATATTCATTGTTCTAAGTGGTGCAGTTGTCATCTCCATTGCTGGGACAATTTACCTCTGGTATAATATCACTCTTTTCAATATTCTGTTTTCCGATAGCAGTGATAATAATAATCATAACAACAAAAACAATAATAATAATAATAATAATAATAATGATTCCCTCTGGGACTAGAACCGGAGTCGTATTAATATCGGCTGATAATGATAAACAACAATCTATACACGTCTATACACATAATTATTCCAGGTTGCTCTGGTATTTGGAAAAGAAAGACGTTATGGCTGGTAAAATCGACGACGAAGAAGCACATATACAAGCGTATTTGGTATATGCTATTTTAATGTCAATAGTTGCTGTTGTGACACTTCTAGTGGTACTCGTAATGCGAAGAAGAATAGCTTTAGTTTCACAATTATTTAAAGAAACCGGTAAAGCGATTTATTCAATGCCTGGATTATTGTTGCAACCAATCTACGTAAGTAGACTGTAATTCCAACTTAAATCCCTATTCTTCATTACAACAGAAAATTATTATAGTTATATATTTATTTTTAGACTTACATAGTTATCAGCGCTTCACTTGTCACGTGGCTTTATATAATGATGTGGATTGAGAGTGCCGGTGATCTCTATAAAAATAAAAAAGGCCATTATCACTATAAAAAAAATGGTTTGCTTGAGGTATGATTGTATGTACTTACCCATCATATATTGAATTGTTATTCATATTTTATTTTTCTCATTATTATTATCATTAATAATATGTATTAATTTGAATGATTAATAGGGCGCACGTTGGTATAATATCTTCATGTACTTTATAATGATGCAGTTTTATCTGGGTTGTCAGCATATGATTGTAGCTGGTGCGGTGGCTCGATGGTTTTTTACAAGGTAATTATACATAATAACTCAATTAGGTTAATTAATCTACCGAGATAATCCTTTAATTTGAATTAAATATGTAAAATGGTCCTGTACTGAGTGAATATTTATTATTTGTCAACAGTAATTTGTTTATTTATGCGGTTAATTGATTAATAACCTACAGCTGTTTGTTTTATTTAAAGGGATAAAAAGCAGTTGTCAATGCCAGTAACTCGCAGTACGTGTTCATTAATACGATACCATCTTGGTACTGTTGCATTCGGAGCGCTGATTATAGCCATTGTTAAATTTCTAAGAGCTATTTTCGCTTATACAGCGAAATATATTCAAAAATATGATAATGCCTGGATAAAAGCACTATTATGTTGTTGTAATTGCTGCTTATGGTGTTTTGAGAATACTCTTAAATTTTTAACACGAAATGCTTACATCGAAACTGGTTAGTTCACTCAATTATAATATTGTTATTACAATAAGTTAACTCGTGATAATTATAGTTCAGAAAGTACGATGGAGGTAACTAACTGCTACGATATCAACATACTTATTTCATCAGAATTAGACATTTTTATAAAAACGAAATTACAATATAATTGACACATTTGATAATTAAAAAAAAAAAAAAGTAAATAAATTTGATGAAAATTAAGTTAGCCGACATTTTAAAACTGTAAGTGTAATTGTTTAAAAATATTTTTTTGTTCTAATTTAATTATTAAAAAAAATATCAAAACATTAAAAACGTCGGCTAACTTTAGTATCATAATAAATTGTTACAAAAATATTTTTAAAAACTACGAATGCAATTTTTTGAAAATAATATTTTACAATTAATTTATTTGCACTTGTAATTCTTTTAAATTTATCGGTGTCATTTTTTTCATAATAATTCCGTTGTTACAAAAATCCAAAAAATTGACAGATATCTATTAATTTCAGTATCATAATACAACTAACTGTTTTCTATTAATTCTACTGGTATTTTAATATTTAACAAGATTATAAAAATACTACGCTATGTAAGATAATATAAACATGTACGTAAATCTTTATTTTACTGTCTGTTTGTGGAAACGTGTACTTCAATGCGCGGAGAATGATCAAAGTGTCAGGTTACTCTGCATGTAAAGGTTACGCTTTTGAAAATTAAAAGTTTCTTGCGCATGCGCATCGACTTTCGATAATCGATATATGACCATCGACTTTTGACTGATGAACCAATAAACGTCAAGTTTTGATTTTGAAGAGTGATCAATCAGAAATCGAGTTTCTTTAATTTTAACTTCAAACTTTCGATTTGTAAAATGATAAATTACGAAATTCTTTATGATACTGAAATCGACAGACATTTTACAATTTTTTAGATTATTATAACAAAAAAATAATTATAAAGAGAATTCATTTAAAAAATTCCACATGTAGAAATTAAAAAAAAACAATAAGTACAAATGAAAATTAACTTAGCCGACATATAAAAATTTTTAGACTTTTTTTTATTGGAAAAATTATTATAAAAAAATAAAAAAAAAAAATTTCATTTCTAAAAAACTTGAAAAACTGTAAGTGCAATTTTTAAAAAATATTTTTTTGTTCTAAACTTTAGTATCATTAAGTACAAAGATATTTTTTTATAATAATTATTTTGTTATAAAAATTTCAAAAACTGTCAAATGGTTGCTGATTTCAGTACAATAATTTTTTTATTTCATAAATTAAACATTTATAAAATAAAAAATTTAACAAAATTTTAAAACAAAACCGAAATAATGATATTTAATTGTCAGTAAAATTTTTAACCATAAAAAAATGAATCTAAAAAATAAAACTCGATATTTTATTTTTCTACTGAGATAAAATCCGTTACCTATAAAACACGGTACACATATTTGAGCTGATGAACAGATAGTTACCTCCTTAAATCTTTTACGAAATAAATAGGCAATTAGAACCCCAATGACCAAACTAGATCTATTAGAATTCCTCTAGTATCACTAAATCTAAAAATCATAAATCTACTTATAAACAAATCCCTTTATGAATAATTTAATACACTAAGTAGCTTAATAAAGTTATGATTGAAGTACTGAAGTATCAATTGGTACGAAAAGGAATAATGGAATTGGTTTTGATAGGGGATTTAACTAATTAAACAAAGATAATTCCAGATAATTATAAATAAAAAACCAAAATAAATAAAGTGTATTAATGATATCAAACACTCAACAGCCATTTACGGGTGTAATTTATGTGGTGGAGGCAGAAAAGCATTCCGAGCACTTACGGACAATATATTACGAGTAGCAGCTATTAATAGCGTTGGAGATTTTGTATTATTCTTGGGTAAAGTACTCGTAGTTGCGCTTACCATTGTTGCCGGTGTTTACTTGATCCAGGTAAAAAAAACTCTCAATCGTTGTTGTTACTGTTATTTATTTATACCTGATATCTAATTATTGATTTATCGTTTTTTTTAATCTAGAAAAAGGACGGCCTGCACCATCCTTGGGTACCAATAGTTCTTGGTGGACTGTTTGCTCTTCTCATTTCCCATTGTTTCATTTCAATTTATGAGGTAACCTTTTGTTATTTATTTTATTTTATTATTTATTATTTTCTTACCAATCTATTATTTTCCTGCTTATAAATCTATGAACGAAATTGCTCTTTCCTCTGAGTTTTATTTAAATATTTACCAACTTATTTCAGTTATACGATTGATTCATCCTTTGCTGTGAATTACATTAATAATAAATTTCATTACTGATATCGTGACAGTTATTTTGCGCTCAAATCAGAATCTAATGTACTTTGGCGTCAGATATTAAACATTAATGCCTTAAACTCGCAAAATTATAAATACCCGAGTCATTCAATTATTCTGTCCTATATAACTATTTATAACAATGAAACATTTAATATTTTTTTTATTCTTTAATTTTATGAATTAATAATTAACAATGACTTTGTTTTAATTAACCAAAAGAAATAATTAAATTATGAATTTTGCCTTCGTTATTAATTTCATTAGATTTACAAGCATATCTTTTAAATAATTAAAAAAAAAATTTTCCCAAGCTATATAAGTATCGCTTTTCATTCACGATTTTATCATATTTTGTATTCATTAAGGCATGAATAATAAAAACCATTAATAAGTGAATCGCTTGAAATCAGTATTTCTACTGGCAATAAATTGAAAAACAAAACTTAAAGATAAAAAAAATTTTTATGAAATACACTGTTTAATATTTTTAAAAATTGATTTATAGAAACTTGATCACAGATAAATTTGCAATAATTCAGTTTTCTGAACGAGAAATCAATTTTAATAAATTGTTGAAACTCGATTCTGTCCTTAGTATTTAAATAAATTTTTGTTAAGTTAAATTTGCGAGAAAATGAAATTCATATCGGCGATAACTTCGATAGTAAATTAATAAAAGGTACCACCCGTATTACCCGTATAATTTCCTATTCTCAAGTATTATATCTGTATCAATAGCACTAAAGCTTAATTAACAATTTATATTCTAATTAACTTAATGTTTCTATTTTACAAAATGTAATTACGATTTTATCTCTTGTATATTACCCGAGTAAATAATTACATAGTTTAGATCTGCTATTCCTTCGCCGTAACTACGATAATAATTAATGATTATTAAGATAAATTTCTACATACAACGTAAAGTTTTCTCAACTTTGTTTTAAAATTTGTAGCTTTTAAATCTTAATAAAAAATTAAATAAGTCTTAATTTAAAAATTCAATTGTAACAATAAGTGAATGTTAATTTGCAGCTTTCAATAATAAAATTTATTATTTATAAAATTGATTCAATTTCAAGTATCACTATAATTTAGTATTATCATTTAAATTTAGAATAATCGAATTAACTATGAATTTCAGATGATAATCGACACAATATTTATATGCTTCTGCGAAGACTGTTCAAGAAACGATGGAATTAGCCGTCCTTATTACATGAGTCGCGGGTTGATGGTGAATCATTTTAGAATTAAAAATTTTTTCATTATCGATTTTCAATAGTATAATTAAAAATAAATTATTTTTAATTTTAGGAATTCGTAGAAAACAGTAAGGAAGCCATGAAAAAGCTTTAATTATCAATATTCTCCACAAAGTGCTTCTATTTCTATTCGTTAACAGTAAAACGAATGATTTTCAACTGGAATAAAAGAGTAAAGACTGAAAATATTGATATATTTTTGTCTGTTTTTTTTAGAGTGAGTTCCGATTACTACGTACTACCAAAGCACAATTGATTATCGCGTGATACGTGTTATTGCACTAAAAATAAGCTAATCAAACGTTCAATGTCTTCTATTCGATGATTAATAATGTGATGCCTTAATAGTAAAAAAAGTTGATAGATAAAAAAAAATATCTATATGTATAATTATATTTATATTTTTAACTCTTCCGTCTAAATGTTTAGCATAGTTAAATTAATGTAAGCTCATATATTATATTATTTCCATTAATTATTCATCCACAACGATCTATTGTAACAGTTTTGTATTGATTAACAATTGAATAATTACAAGCTTAAATATTATTTATTTAATGGTTGTAAAAAATGTGATTAAATGAATGAGTTTTTTCTATTAATTTCTTTATTTTATTAAATTAAAATAATTAGTCATTCAATATTAATATTAATAATAATAGAATTAAAGATTGGAATAATAATAATTAAAATAAATAATTCCATAAAAGTTCTAATAATAAATAAATGTATTATTACTCGTCTAGATCAACATCTGGCTTGGTACATACATGTAGGTATCTATTTATTATTTTTTTGTTTTATTTATATTATAATTAATCATACACTCGACAATAGTTACATATAAACAACTTGGACCGTGCAAGAAAATCGGGATTTATCACTTTGAAATATATATAAAAAAGAGTGATATATATTTATATAAAAAATTACGATATTGATCGTTATCAAAGCAAAAAAAATATATAATTTATCTAATAAACTAAAGAAAAAAATACTTGCATTGTAATTAGAAAAAAATGCGCCTAACGTTAACGTAGATAAATTATTTTTTATTTTACCCGAACAATATATTTTTTTTTTGTTCAATTTCAATTAGCACAAAGGCATATCGGTTATTAAATCATGAGCCTGCATTGACAATCAGTTAATGAGACAAAGCTTTGTGATTATTATCGTTATTATTACTATTAATATTCGTTTTCATTTGGTCTTATCCTTGAATTATGCGAAACAGGCAGTCAATTGAGTCAATAATTTGTAAAATAAACAATGGTTTAGATAATACAATGCAATTCACGATGATAATTTTCAGGATTATAGAATACAATGGAAAACAGAGATTAATAATTTTTTAGAATTAATTATTCAATCAATCAATGATAATAATTATGTATAATATCTTTTGCTTTATTTTATATTTTCAAATAATTCTTTTTAACACAAGGAAGCACCAAGGGACGGAAATAACTATTGGATAAGTGACTTGTATGAGCAGCGAGACTGCTGAAGTATCAGCATTAATCATAAATATAATAATAATAATGATAATAATAATAATAATAATTATAATAAATGTTAATCTATTTAACTATATAATATCATGCAACATAAAATAATATTACAAGTAATTTCTTAACATTCAATACAATATTGTTTATTTGTTTTTTTAATAACACGGACTAGATAATTTCAGCATCAAATAAACGCAGATAATTTTCTCTTTGTTATAATGTGTCTAGTATATAATATTATATATAAATATAAATATAAATATAATAATGTATAACAATAAACCTCACTGCTCATACCCGTCTATTTTTGATTCCAAGTTCAATGAGACGTAAACACTGATACCTCAACTCTACTAAATGATAATTGATAATTATAATAATAATAATAATAATAATAATAATAATAATTATACAATACAATTCAATAATAGAGGCATGAATTGAAATTAATTGAAATATTATTAGTACTCATCCCGGAATCCTAGTAATTATTAATTCAACAAACAAATTTATATATGATATGCAAATTATAAAAAAATGGGTGTTTTCTTTTTTTTTCGTTATTAGTTTATACGCTATTTATTGTTTTCATCATTTATAAATTTTAACGCCCATGAAGCTTTATAACAATTCTTAATATTTTTTTAGCCATAGGATTTCAAGTCTTAATTTTTCAAAAAAAAAAAAAAAACAATACTCAGCTTTTTATTATAAACGATATTTTTTTTTTTTTCACAAATATTTCAATATTATCTTATTAATCAGTACAAAAAATGTCAGATGCATATTTTTTGTAGTTTTTTACGATTATTTATTAGTTATAATCATAAAATGAACAAAAAAAATTTGAAATTCAAACCTCTCATACTAAAAAGTAAAAAAAAAATCGCCGATAGATTTTATAGGCTTAAAAATTCAAACTATAAAACAAAAGCAATGAACAGCGCATGGACTGTATGTTTCAAAAATTATTTAAAAATAATTATATATTTATATATTTATGTTTTAATTTATTCGAAGACTTAGACTTAACCATGTGATAATATTATTGCACTGTTCCCTCCAGTAAATAATTATAAACCGTCAGGAGGACCACATAATAATAAATCATATCAACAGAGACTGCAACACTTGGATGGGTCACCAAGGTGAATGTGACAAATGGCTGGTAAACCGACGCAACCATTGTTCATAACACTGTCTTGTACAAACTGAGCTAATCCAAGATTCTGATTTATGTCACCGTCACTACCGCGATGCTGTTGTAGTAACAATTGTTGTTGTTGCTGTTGTTGTTGATGATGCTGCTGTTGAAGTTGATGATTTTGCTGGTGGTGTTGTTGGTGATGCTCTTTAGTATCACTCCACTGGTGACGTTCACGCCATTTATCGTCGCTGGTAGCACAAAGTAGTACAGACTTTGGTGAAGACGGGGAGACCCGCTCCCGAGAGATATTGCCACAAGAACGGGCTTTGTACAATTTACCTTTGCCGAGAAAACCCGGCAACGGGACACACAATTTTTTGTGTACTGCAAAGTAACGTGTAAGAAGTCTTATTTTTCTACTTTTGCAATCATTACCACTATTACCGCTACTACCACGCGTATTGTTCATTCCCGAGCTTTTTGTGTTTTCCTTTTCGAAATTTAACATGCCACGGTTGAGCTCACATTTCCCCTTGTCTTCGCGTATTATTTCCACGAATTTACTCTCCTCTTGATTATCTTTTTTACTGCCACTATTCGTGTCTTTGCAACAGTATCCTGGGGATTTAGTATTAACAGATTGAGTACCGAGTCCCTTGGTACTGAGATTCCAACTTTGTAAAAGCCGTGCTCCAAATCCTTTAGCTCGTTGTACCGTAGTCGTAGAACTAGTCGTCAAAGAACTGCTATTTATATTAGTTGTTGTCGTAGAGGCTAAACTATTTATTGAATTAGACATTGTTATTATTGCTGTTGTTGTTGTTGTTATTGTTGTTGTTGTTGTTGTTGTTGTTGTTGCTGTTGTTGTTGCCGTTGCGGTAGCTGTTATTGATTTAGAATTAATTATTGACATTGTTGAAGTCGAATTACAAGTTGAAGTAACGACTGTTATATTTCGATAGAGAGCATGACACGCACTTGGTATTTCAGCCTCTTGTACTTCAGTAATGCGATTCAATGATTGACTTTCCCTGAGCCTCGTTTCACCGGCCCGACGTCTACCAGCACGATGTCTGCGTCCAAAAGTCATTGCTTGAGATTCTGTACACCTTTGAACTTTACCGCCACTGGTAGTGGTACCCGTTGTCGTGGTCGTTGTCGTTGAAGTACTGTTTTCATTTCCATCACTGCGCGTATTACTAGACGCAGTGTGCTGAACATTATCACTGTTTCCTAGGCCGCCACCTCCATTGCCTCCAGGATCCTGAGAATCACTAGAATCGTCATGACTGTCCCGCCTCGAAGGCAGAGGCTTACCTGTTGTTGCACCCAGCTTGTGAGCGCGTTTCTTTCTACCCTCACTGTCATCATCACTCGCATCTGAACTCGAGCAAGACGTAGTACGGGTCTTGTGAAATTTACTGCGCTTCTGTTCGTACCCGGTGCGTCTCACAACGCGGCTTTTCGACGAATTGTCACCGCCACCACCACTCTCAGTGGATTCAAGTGCGTCGCCGTCTTCCAGGATTTCTTTTAGTGCTAATTTTTCCGACTGAATTTCCCCAATCGTCGCCGAGACCGCAGCACTGCCTGTCAAAGGCATAGTTTTGTATTTGGGTTGAAGGTTGCTGTCGCCGGTGAATAATGTCTTTGGTAAACGTATCGGCGACGGTGCGGTTGCTGATTCTGTTAAAATGGTAGTTGTTATTGTTCCTAATTTTGAAAAACCAACTTCAAAGTCGGTTAAATTTTTTGATGACGGTACGGTTGTTACTGTATCGTTTATACTACGATTATGCTGAGAACCCATTTTCCATTTATAATTTGGCACAGGTACTGAAGTTTCCAAAGACTCTGCTGGTGAATTCGACCTCTCGGTGGTATTACTGTAAATAGGTATTTTAGTTAATCCACTTACGGTAGTTGTTTCTGTTATTGTTGACGATGTTATTATTTTAGGAGATGAACAAGTTGAAGTTAAAGTCGTAGTAGTAGTAGTAGTAGTAGTATAAGTTAATCCTGTAGTTGATGGCAGTCTGTTATTCATATTCTCCTCAGTTGTTGTTTCATCACCAGGATAAGAAGGATCCTGATGTACTTTAACAACGGTAAATGTGTGACTCGGTGACGGTGAATCCTTTGGCGTTATTTCTTGGGCTTGAATTATTTGCCGTGACGGCTGTTTCAATACAGCGTGCTTTTCTGGCAATTGAGCCAACCGCTCTTGTAGTATGTGTGATAATTTACCCTCTGATCTGGAACCACGACGATTTAATGAATTTAACGCCGAGTTGCTACCATGTTCGTCTCGACCGGAACACGAAGACACATCGTCTTCGTCTTCTTCTTCTTGGACGATACTGCACTTACGCGTTCGTGAATTCTGTAATTTAATATAATAGTCTGTTTTTCGTCGATGATGACTTAGACTTACGGTGGATAAGAAATAGATTTTGAGTTAAAAATATGAAAGAGTGATTTGACGAGGTGTTGAAGAACAAGATGCATTAAAGACATAGATAAATTATAATTTTGTTCTTTTTTTGGTTTTACAAAGTATTGAGCACATTTTTTTTTTTTTTTTTTTTTTTAAGTACAGAGGCGCTAGAGATAAATCTCATAAGCTATTTTAAATACTTTTTTGTGGATTTTTAAAAATCAAGCTCTTACAGTTTTATTGATAGAGAGATAGACTGATAGATAAATAGATTCATTTATTAATTTATTGGATAATTGTTTATCGAAATCCAAGGTAAAGGAGCGTGTCACTACGTACCTGTGGTACGTCTCCAGGTGTTCTTGGTACTGATAATAACGATTGATTCACACTACCAACTAAATTTGGTTCAGCACGTAGATCGTTCATAGAGAGATCATTATGGCGACTGCAGAAAAATTGTTTTTGTTAATATAATTATTTCAGATTCCGAATAAGCTAATTAAAAGCAACAATTGGAACGTTGGATAAATATTTAAATCATAAATAAAAAACAAAAAAGTAAATACCGTGTATTAACGTCCAGTTCTGTACGATTTTTTTGTACTTGTTCTTGTCGATGGGCTCGTAATTTTCTCTCTGCCAGCAGGAAGTACGTAGCCGTGATATGGTTGTACTCGTTTTTGTCAAGAGCACTGTTAAATAAACATAAAAATCATTAAAATCAAGTACATATTTACTTGGACAATTAAATTTAAATATTTGCGCTGTAAATTAAGTTACAAAGCATAAAAAATAAATAAACTCACTCTAAAATTTCTTCTTTCGTAGCAATATTCCCGTTGACCATTTTAGTAATTATTAGATTATGATGTTCATCAGAAACCTGTTCTCTAGAAACAAGAGGTAAAACGTCTACGGGATCATCAGTCTCAATACCCAGCCAAGGATCGCTGGCAATTTGTTCAAGAGTCGCACGTCCCTCAGGTGCACGTACTAACATTTTAGCGATAAGTCTCTTACACTCGTCTGATACGTGTGAAGGAATTGAGTATTTGCAGTCCATTATCATCGTTAATGTCTCACTATCATTAGCTTCCTGAAAAGGTGCTTGTCCGCAGACCAGCATGTATAGAATGACACCAAGGGACCAGACGTCAACTGCTGGTGCATCGTAACTGTCACCTAGAAGAATTTCTGGTGCTGAATAGGCCAGCGAGCCACAAGATGTTTCTAGCTTTTGCCCAGGACAAAATCGATTACTGAAACCGAAGTCTGTCAATTTAACGGTGCCAATTTTCTCGAAGAACACGACATTCTCGGGTTTTAAATCCCTGTGGACCACGTGAAGGCGGTGACAGTATGATATGGCTCTCACTATTTGACGAAAATAAGTTCTCGCCACCTATTTAAAAAAAAAAAAAAAAAAAAAAAAAAAAGTCTTTTAATTGAATGAACTTTAGATAAACATTTCAATAATAATATTAAAATTAAAATACTGACTAATTATCAACAAATTAATTATATATTTTAATTGACAGTTAGTTTAAATTTATACGATTACTATTTACTGTTTCGAATCAAAGATATTTGAAGCGTAAATTATCTCTTAATTAAAAGTGATTTTAATTAAAGTTTAAATGTAAATGTAATTAACGCTACAAACTGAGTAAATGTCAATTTTTAGGTAAAATATATTTAGTAAATATTATTTAAATATCAATTATGGTAAAGGAGAGTTTAAAAGATTAAAGAAACCACTTGTAAATAAAATAACATCTCGTTTGTTAATCCGTAGGCTAAAAATTTAAATTACACTTTACTTGAATAAATTAAAAATTGAATTACGGTTTGTAAATAATAATTTTTTAGATTTATTTAAATATAATAGAATTATTTTAGTAATAATTAAAATTATTTATGCCTTATAATGTAATAAATCATTAAAATTAGATGAAACGTGAAATATTTCAATATAAAATGAAAGTTGAGTAGGTGGTTGGGCCATAATCGCATGATTATAATTTAATTTGAACGTTAAACTAAAATATTTTATTCACAAGTGGTTTTATAGTCAGGACTGTGACATTTGCCATGCATGTGATAGCGATAGTAATGGCTCTCCTTAATACTTTACCTCTTCGCTTAATCCACTATCGTGCCGCATTATATAATCATAAAGATCTCCACCGTCGCCAAGCTCCAGGATGAGGTAGAGCTTTGTCTGCGTGTCTATTACTTCATAAAGCCGTACTACATTGGGATGCTGTACCAGTTTCATGCATCTCACCTATAGTTGAACACAGAAAAAACTTTTTAAAATACAAGATAGAAGATCAATATATAGGCTTTTGCGCTTAATAAGCCTCGACCTCGATCTCATAAATTCACTGCGTATTTTATAGCGTACAATAGAGTATAGTGAGCAGCATAAACAATTAAGTTTTATTTTTAACGATTTTTTATTGTCTGTCAGGGTAGAAAAAAATTATTTTTGAATTCACGGTTTCTTGTATCATTTTTTTTCCGTGACCTTAAAATTCCATTCTAATCAATTAAGTATTTGAATTTTTTTTTACATTTTAATCAACCACTGCTATAATTAAATCTAGTATAAAATATACAGAAAAAACAAATACGTCAAGCGAAAACTATTTTTCTTTTATTCGTATGAATTAAAAATACGCAAAAAATTTATTCATATAACTTCAACATATTTTCAAAATAATATAATCCATTAAATATTTATTTGATAATATATCATTGCCAAAATATTGGGTACCATATCATTCAATATAAAAAAAATTACCCATTATAAAATTGAGTATGTACAGTAATAAATAAAATTTTATGTAAATACATATAAAACATTACCGTACGGCTATTACTACTATACATGTAAATACATATATTTATTGGACCAAATTACAATTATTTTTAAATTGTTACTCAATATTTCTGTTTGAAATATAATATAGTTTATGTTAAAGTAAGAAGATACGGAAAAAAAGGACAGAAAAAATTGAAGGAACGCGGAAAGTATGATTCATCGTGCATAATTTAAAAATCATTCAAATATACACAATCATTGATCAAATTAAATCTTTACATATTTTTATTGTGAGTAGTGGAACTTCACTCTAGAAGTAATCGTAATGATATTTAGGTACATAATATTTTGTTATTATATTTTTTATGAAATATTTCCGGTTTGTAGCGATCTATAATCTTATTTATACTTTTTACCTCCTGGAATAGATGCGCTCGGGAAACTTCATCTAGCTTACTCTTATCGATAACCTTGACCGCCACCTTCTCCCCGGTGAAGACATGCCTGGCGAGTTTAACCACAGCAAAATGACCTCGCCCAAGGGTCTCCTCCAAGTCATATAATCCAGCGATTTTGCCGTCATAGTTGCTGTGACCCAGTCTCCGATGCATCGCGTTGCTGTAACATCATTTATCTCAGTTTATTAACCTTTAACTTTTATTTTATTTTTATTTGTTATAAAAAAAAAATAATAATAATAAAAAATCTATTACGGTTTTATTTCATTTCGTTTTACCATATTTATTATTATTAGTATCATCAATAAACTAGGGTAATAGAAAACGGAATGTAGATTTTTAAAAAACCTCAGCAGTAAATTAACGAAGAAAAAATTCCTTTGATCGGTTCAGAATCGATTGACGTGGAGGATTCTCGTGTAATAGAGGAAGGAATTGAAATGGAAATGAGTAGAGAATCACGGACATTGCAAATTAAACGGAAAAATAGTGAGCTGTGATCTAGCAATGGTGATGTTAATAATAGTAATAATAATGATGGGAATGATGACAATCCCTCGGGAAATTTTCCTGGCATAAAGAGTCGGACATGAACAATAGTCATGGGAATTATTTTACTTTTTTGAATTATGTAATAAAAGCATCATACTAATTTTAATGCTAATTGTCGTTCTCGTTTTATAAAATGTCGAGATAAAATATTTAACATGTAAATTTAATCTAAACGCTTTTTTAATTTTTACAGTGTATAGATTTTTTTTTTTATAAAATAAATTATTTCTCATATCGATTTTATGCCACTGACAAATATTTACAGCGAAAATAAAAACGATAACAAGGTATTATTTATTGGTATCATTAGACAGTGGTCTTAAACCACCGACACCTTCCGGTATCGCGTAATGAGCCAAGTAGTAAAAACGAGTAGGTCAACTGGTACTGGTATTGACCCGCTCGCTTTCCCTCAATATCGTACCTTGCTTAAGGCTACATTTAATTTATACAAATCAGAGCAATTAAATCATACCGCTAATATCGCTACTGATGTTACATCAATAATAACAATGAGTACAATATAATATAATACAATTCAATACAGGAGTGGTAATATTTATGTCCTCCAATTGACACGTTAATAATACATGCAACTGCAGGTCTTCGATAATTAAGATAAATTAACAGCAACTACCGACAACATTTTTTTGTTTGGTTTCGCATTAAGAATAATCTGTTTAAGACTAATAATCACGAAGAACTAAATAAAATAATTATAAAAATAAAATTTATAAGACTACTTTATCTTATGTATACATAATAATGTTAATGTAGTGAAAATTTCGCTATGCTTTCTACATTCAATCGTGATTTCAGTTTTAAGAGAATTAAGAAAACAACTAATAAAATAAAATGAAAATAAACTATAAGTTTTTCAAAACAACAAGCTTCAATATTTTTCTGAATAAATCCATTCAACAACGTACATCTCTAAGCTAAAAAATAACCTTCTTATTTCCTAAATCCTCAGAACGACGTTTAATATTGGACTTGATCCATGCATATAATATATATATTAAAAAAAAAAAAAAAAAAAAAAAATATCGACTCGGTCTTTAAAATTCTCTCTCTTTTAGTCTGTCTGTTCGCTAACGTCTCTCCATCTATCACATCGTTGATGTTCTCCTTTTGCGTCTTCTATCCTTGTTCTCAGTACTGTACAGTGAAAATACAGTATCAGTAACTAGTAAAGTACAGCGGTAACATAAGCATAGAGTTGTATTTGTCTCGGAAGTAAGTGCTGGTGCCTGGGAGGCAAATTTATGCCAAGACGGGACCGAGTGCTAGAGTGCAACTGGGGTCGACGAGGGTTCGGTCGAGGCCACTAACCCAATACAACAACATCAACAACAACAACTCTCTCTCTCTCTCTCTCTCTCTCTCTCTCTCTCTCTCTCTCTCTCTCGTTTTCTTTCTCTCTTTGCATTTATGGTATTAATTTAACCAATACACAAAGATGAGAGTATGTTACAGAGGATATCAATCGTTTGGCTAGTTTTGATTTTATCACCACACCACTGTTTAGTATGATGACAGTCGTTCGTATTCAGACTTGATGATCTATAAATCTGATCCCTTTAGACCAACTGGTATCTCATTTATAATATATAATATATATATCCAGTGAATTATATCCGCTTCTACGTGAAATAGAGATCCTATGAATAAATCCAACGTCTAAATAATAATAATAATAATAATAATAATAATAATAATGGCAATAACAGAACCAAACAGCGAGAATTAAATTAACAGCACAATCATCCATCATCAGTACTTACAAATCTAGGAAATAAGCATCCAAACCATATGACATACGATCGATGTTTACACAGTTAATTAAACATCTATGAAGGCATTTACCTACAACCGAGTTGCATAAAGGCTCCAATAAATTTACTCGAGGATTCTGTGTGCTAATAAATTACGTCCACCATTACAACTACATCAACGTGAGAATGTCATCGCGTGGGATACATCAATTAACCACAATGAACTGAAGAAAGTAAAAATTGCAATAAAAATATATAGTATATGATAGGGTGGCAAAAAATCGACTATTTTCTTCATGGAAGTTACTATTAGATTAGTCACACAGACTATATTCTTTAAATTTATGATTTTTATCTCAACATAATTGAATATTATCCAAGATGAATTCAAAATATCTTTAGAAGTACCAATAGTTTGACCATGTGAGTTAAGAAACCTTGAATAATTTTTGAAATATTAAATTAATCAAAACATTACAAGAGAACTTTTTTACAACTCTTTAGTTACTTTAAAAAAAAAGTAGCCGATATTTCAATCTTAATCACTATATTTAAATAAAAAAAAATAAAAACTTTTATACCTCTACTGCTAGGTCAATCTTCCCAGTAATTTCTGCTTCCACTGACGTCCTGAATTATTGGTACTCGGTGTCGTCATTTGTAGAAATTAGACATTTCCTCGTGGGTTTGCTTATGGCATATGTATCAATTCACTTGCCGCGTGTTCAATGTCTTTGCAGTTGTAAAAAACTATCAGAAAATAAACAAACAAAAGTACTTTCCTCATACAATGTGAGTGTGTATGAAAAGCCGTATAATTTATGCAGGTACACGATGAACGAGGTCACACACACTGACCTGCACGCACCGGGAATTCCGCTATGCACTGATGATGCTTACGGTTTAATAGAAAAAAAAAAAAAAATAATAATAAACTGTAACTGTCGTAAGTCTCAATACTGAATTGAATAAATGAAAATAAAAACAAAAACAAATTTATATTCAATTGAATTGAATGAAATTACACTGAGTATGGCTTTTAAATGTTTCTTGGTCGAATCGGTGGATTGCCGTTCTTTCATAAACTACCTAGTACTGGTATAAATTAATAATCATTATTGATAGTTTACGTTAACTATTCAGCTGCTGCTGCTGTTATTGTTGTGGTTGTTGTTGTTACTGGTACTGTTTGGCTATTGATGATGCTGATACTGATGTTATTGTTGGAACTTATATTTTTATTATGGTTATTGTAATTGATGATGGACCAATTGTTATATTAATTTTAGCAAACAAATAAACACGGCTTTCATCACGTCATTTATTTAATTTGATCTCTCATGATATGAGTACCATTTAATTTCCTTGCCCCACCCAGCAGCAAGTTAAACGTGATGTTTTTTTGGGCATTAAAATAGTAATTATTATTATTTTATTTCAATGCCTTGCGACGAACTGTGACAATTAAACTCATAAATCCAATTCACCTTCGATAGATGTTACAGACAAGCTCATAAATTCATCAGCACTTGGAGTAAACTACAAAAAAAGAAAAAAAATAATAATAATGGTAATAATAATTAGATAAAGTAACATAAAAATAAACAAGATAAATACTAACTGACACTTTTTCGTAACTATTTCTTTCACTCACCGTCAACTTGTCGCCGTTTTCGAGGATTTTTTATTGCTTTTTCGACAATACAACAGAGCTATGTGTCCTTGTTGATCATCTTCAGTATAATCACAAGTGACGCTTGTTTCACAGAGTTTACCAGCTTCACCAAGTATACACGCACGTCTAATTACTGTAGTAAAAATATATGGATGTATATTATTGTTATTATTTTATATTATAATATTTTTTGCGTCGAGTAGATTAGATAAGAGCACTTGAAGAATTCATCAAGTAACGCACTCACACTGCAACTAGCCGACGACAGTTAATTTTTCTCAACAGAAGTGCGTTTTTAGCAAGAGTGTTGAATGTGCAGCTAAGACCAGAGAGTGACTCGGAAAAGCGAAGAAAATTTATTTGCTTAGAGAAGACCTGGCATTTTATTTTATTTTCATCTTACTGTCCATCTTACAGGTTAAATTTTAAACTTTTCATCACTCTGATTCTCATATTTCATTTTACTGGCTGTCGTCAAAATAGATGTCGTTAGGATTACCTCCCACATTTTAAACATTTCAGATGCGCGCGCAGCGACATATTCATTGTTTTTTTTTTTTTTTTTTTGACATGTTCAGTTTCAAAGGAACACACAAAACTGATTTTTTTTTAATTTTATGAAAATCAGCTGTTTTATAATTTCACATTTATGAGTTTTATTAATATTTACAACAAAAAATTAATTTACTCTTTTAAGTAACTGTTAAAGTTTGATTTACAAAAAAAAATTCATGGTATGTATATAATTAAAAAAAAAATTTTTTTTTAATTTCATCCAATGTAATAAAAAATTATGACATTAAAGTTAGCAGTCGTTTGACAATTTTTAAAATTTTTTTTAATAAATAAATTATGGCAAAAAAAATTATTTAAAAAATGGACTTGTAGAAATTTTAATAAATTAAAGATGCATTTTTTTAAAAATAATATTTTAGAATAAATTTTTTTGTTAAAGAAAATGAAAAAATTATCAAGTCACAGCTAAATTAAATGTCATTAAAAAATTCAAATGTCATAAAAAATAGCAAAATTATTGTCTGTAATTATAAGAACAAATTTTTTAGCAGCAAAACTTGGAAGAATTTAAATTAATGGCGCGTATAACAACTGACAGTACTGGAGAAGAGAAAACAAAACGTCCTAGCCAGCTGATATGACGTCACAGCTTGAAGCCATGCGCGTACCGTATCAACAGAGTTTCAAGCTTCAATGTTCTAAATGTTCTACACTACACCAGATATATACCAGGTACTTACCAACTAGACTGTTTTCAGTTGTCGAGTGCCCGCGAGACTTATAACAAGTAACAACTTACACCAAAGCTGGTACTCCGAGCCCAAGTACTGCAGACACTCGACAGCCGTTAAAATCGTTAAAATTACAATCAAGTGACAGGTTTAATTCCCCAATTTTATTTATCAATTATCCTTATTCAGACTCGCTGACTGACATACACTTACCGCAAAACGTCTATTTTGATTTTATCCAGCTTTGGTGTCAGAACTTTGTTGTCAAGCTGTCAAAATTTAAAATAATTTTGCAGCCAGAATCCAGAATAGTTACCGTGATTGGTGACAAGATCAGTGCGGTCAACTCCAAGGGCTCATCACGGCTCTTGTAATAAAAAAGTTATTACAATACTATGCCGTTTATCTCTAAAGACTGGCGTAGTCCTGGTGAAGAATGGGTCAAAACAGTCGAGGGCTGGGAGAAGAAAAAAATTCTCGAGTGTGCCAACAACAAAACTCTGTCATTATTAATACGGTACATTAATTATTAAATTATATTTTTTTCTTTTATAATAGTAAGTATTTTTACCTACATAACAAGCTAAATCAATTAATATTTTAAAACATTTCTTTGTCTTCGAGTACCAGCTTGATATCATACAGCTGTTGAATCGATCGTCGACATCTTTGTTTACTAACTAGTAATGTTTACATCTTTCCTACCAGATTCTGGTATCATTCTTGCATATATAATTATTTAAAACGAAAAAAAATTTTTCAGTAATGATAACGATAATTTACATAAATAGATAATTTAAAATAATTATTAAAAGCGCAGGTAAGTTGCTTTGTTATGCTGTAATTACAATTGAAATTAAAATTCTTTGATTCCTTTGTTCCAGTGTAGGCTGACGCAGTTAGTTGTATACGTTCCAAAAACATCGCTAAATATTGCGCGTGTTTATATGTATATACACATATGAGATTCTTAACTCGTAGGCATTATATATGTATATTGCATTATTATATGCGCTGGTACTTTATTTATTTAATAATGTAACAGCTTGTAAATATAAAAAAGGAGGAAAAGGAAAAGTCAACTACAACTATTTAAATAAATTCACATCTACATTCATACACTTGTATGTATATAAGAACAAGAATTAGTACACAGAAAAAGTATGTACGTTTCCGTGGGTAAACTTTCCTTTGGTACTTACTTTATTATAACTATAATAATAACAACATGCGTAAACTGTGAGCTGTGAGATCGATCGATTGCTCTCTCCTTCACTCACAACTAACAACTCCCTTTGCTTAGACTATTTAATTGATCGATTAATTAATTAGTCTTTTATTTATAATTTATAACCGTACAAGTGTACTTGACCGCCACGTAAATTATATGTCAGAGTCCAGTGGTTGCCAGGCAATCACACACGGCTACTCTGTAAATAAAATAAACTTTAATAAGTAATTACAATTTGCAATGATAGATTTTTTTTTGTTACTTGGTCACGCTTTCACAACCGAGAAATGACTACCAAAGATTCGTTTCTATCTTGTTGATCGTTTATTAGCCTTGAAGTGAAGTAATAAAAAATTAAAATTGAGAAGAAGAAAGAGGAAGAAAAAAATAATGGAGCTAAACTTGTAATTTCTAAAATAGAATTTCTCGCGTATTATTTATTGTTAAATATCATGAGATGTTTTAATGATATATAATGAAAGATAACGACCAAGAAACGTCAAATGGCAAAATTAAAAATAATGGAGATGAGTACTTGAGTGCGTTACGGTCTAGTGACACGTGCATACATTAGTGCCTCTGCAATCGATTGGTTTGTTTTTATTGACTATTATTATTGAATATAATGAAAGTATAATATTAAAAAAAAATAAAAACAATATAGAAGAAGATGAGTAGAGACAGAGCCTTGAACGACTGAATGTCGATTTTCTTGATGTAAAGCAAAGAGAGATGGATGGGCAGTATTGGTTTGACCTAAAACCGAAAAACTAGGTCGTGACCTAGAGTTTGCCTCGCACTAGTTTCAGGATCCTTCTTGTACTAGGATATTTTTCCTTACGGGGTATTTATATTATATATGTTATTTATCCTCCCGGCTTACTTATATATTTACTCATGCTGCAATGCATCTCACCTAAGAAACCGCAAGATTCTATCCAGCAGATATTTTTAATATTATATCATAATTCGTAATATTTCTTGTCATTTTTAATATAAGCAGTAGATGAATAATTTGTGACAAAACAAATCATTGAGTCGTGACAGATCACGTCAGCGTTCGTTAGTTGCGTAATTTAAAATGGTCAAATTAGTGTTGGTGTGCATGGAATTTGTAATAATGTATGATATATAATATATAATGTATAATACCATCGGCACACTGTACTGAACTACTTAAATGCTTAGTGGTTCCCTATAGTTAACTGTGAGCGTATTAACCAAGGTCGTCGATAGTTAGTGACCTTTTACGAGGTTCTCTTCCGCAGCAATAATATGACATTGAATTTTGAGTTTTTAATTTAATACATTGTACTTTTAATTTACTAAATACATTTTATTACAGTCATAGTACTATTAATAATACTAGAGGTACTAGTAATAACAGCGGTAAAAACGATATGAATAAAAATAAATTTTAATATTGATTTTTTTCTAGATCAACGGTTGCTTAACGAGAATTGATGACTAGCTCAATGATTTGTTGTTCAGAATAAGCGTGGGCAAACCAGTCAATGAACTGTTCGATATAATTACGACATTATAGAGTTTTAAAAATAATTATGATAACAAAAACATGACCATGATTTTTCATGATGACTCGTTATAATGTCTACGACGGACTTTTACTTAGAAATGTTAATTTTTTTTTTTTTCTTAAATAAAATCACTTTGAGCTTTTAATTAAAACTCGAAAATTTTTTTAATTACTGTAAAAATAAAAAACATTATAATGGTTCCGGTGTTTGAAAGCCGTCTAAGATTTTTTCTTGGAGTCTTGAGTCTTGAGAGTGTTTTTGTAAACGTCTGCGTTCAAAATGTTTAAAATAAGAAAAAAATTGTGGTTTTTAAATGTGAATTATAATAATACGTTTCTCTGGTTTTTCAGAACCGAGAAGGATGGAGACAAAGCCCGCGAGAAGGAAAAAGAAAAAGAGAAAAAAAAAGGTGAGTTTCGGTTGAAAAAACGACATTTAGTTTTTTTTTAAGTTATATATGACAAAAACATGTATGTTGATTGTAACAAAGTAATGTTTTAAAAATTTTCATGGTTATTTGTGTATGTTTTTAGAAAATGCCGTCCAACCTCACTGTCACATCACACTGAAGTGTACACGTGAGGTGAGTGACTCTTCCGGCGTGAATTCTATATTTAACTTATTCTGGCTTAACAAACAGCCAGGATAACGAGGATTAAAAATGTACGACAAGAGGAAACTCGAGATTTAAAATAGATACGAAAGTGAATATAGTTGATTTCCCATTTAAATGCTCAGGCGCATATACCCTCGGATTTTCTCGTTCAAATAAATAAATAAATAAATAATAAAATAAGAATAAGAATAAGAATAATAACAAAATAAATAAAATAGAATCACAAGCAGACAAGAGCATTAGAGAAAAAAAGATGGGATGAAAATGCGCGAGCAAGCCAACGGCAATTATTCTTATGTTCTAAATTTGTAGATCGCCGGATTCAACGGACTGAGTGATGCACTCAAGAGACTGGACTTTTTGTCAGCGGTCCACGATTGCCGACGTTTCAACTACATCGTAAGGCTGTTGGATTTGCTGGTCAGCCACACAATGGGTGGTCTTAGTGGATGTGCTCAACGTGTGCTGTTCAACATGCTGGAAGAAGTTACTCTGGAGGTTTCTTGTTCACAACAGCAAACAGGAAGACTTCGTAGACTGATTGAACGTGTTAGAGCCTTCAGTGCTAGCTGCTGCTGGGGCGGACGACCTCTTGGTTCTGTTGTCCTGTGGGAAAAACACAAAGCTGCTTTGGATAGAATACTGCAAATTGCGTCGTCTATCACAATCACTCAGGTGAGATTCGCAGATGATATAATGTCATATTTAGGGGGTGAATAATTTTTTTTTTTATTAAACGTAAAACATCCCCAAACCGAATTCATGAACACTAATATTAAAAATCATATAATTATGTAGTTGTACATTAACTAAAAATTACCTAATAAAATATTTTTATAGCCTGACGAAGAGCAGCATCCACAATGGTCAGACCTTCCAGCTGAGTGTCGACGTGAAGTTCTCTTGCGTTTAAGCGACCCAAGGGACATCGAAGCTTCGTCAGAAGCTTGTGAACATCTGGCTGCACTCGCTCAAGAACAAAGAATTTGGCGAGAGCTTGCTCAGTACCACTTCACGCCTCAACAAATAACTACTACCATGCAAAATAACCCAGGAAAAGACTGGAAAACATTATTCACTATTGCACGAAGGTATAGAAGTGTTTTTAATTGAAATTAGTTTCAATGATTTTATCATATTGAGATTAATGATTGATGATTAGCTTATCCAACGATTTTAATTGAAAATCTTCTTGTAATTAGGTATTAATAGATATAAATAATCTCTGATAAAATATAAATATTTTTAATTGCCAAAGTAATTTATTATACGTGAATTAATTTTTTTTTTCTGGCCATACAGGTCTTTCGGATTGCGAGAAGAGTACGCGGAAATGATTCAACTGTGTCGGAATTGCCGCTGCCTCTTTTGGCGTTCACTCGGACATCCTTGTATCGCTGATCAAGATCCAGCATTTCAAGAAAAACTTGCTGATGTCGATCAATCATCTCTTCATGTTCCAATACCACCGCAAACTTTTCTCAAGTTTTTCTCTCTGTGAGAATTATTATAATAAATTAATTAATTATCACGAGAGTTGAAAAATAAAAGAAAATTATTATAAAATATAAGGATGCGTTGAATATAAATAAATATATAAATATAAATATATATTTATTAAAAATAGTCCTTAGAAATATCTATTGTTGGTCGTTAAATAAACTTTTATTGTAATTTGCTCTTTGAAGTATTATAAGTCAAAATTTCGTGATAATTTTTGACATTCGCGCTTTAAAAAAAAATAAGTAATATAATACACTATAATATATATATATATATACATAATATTTATTTTGTGGAAAATACAAAGAGTTTAATTATTAAGTCTGGTAATGTAATTATACGTCCGCGAAAAAAAAAAAAAACAAACAAATATTTTTAATTGATTAAAGTTACATAACTAACTATTTAATTAATTAATCATCGAAATCACGACGAATGTATACAATTTAATTATTATAAATTATAATAGACATGCTCGTCAAACGACTGTCTTACGAAACATATTTTATCAAATAATTATTTAACGTCCATTGAAGATCTCTTCCAAAAAAAAAATTAGTTAATTTTTTTTCATTGTTTTTATAATTTTTTAAATAAGAATAATGACGGCTGATTAGTCTGAGAGACTATTCATTCGCTTCGCAAAGTAGTATTTTGTGTTTTGTGATGCCTTTAGGTGCTTGTGGTAGCTCTATAATTGTTGTTATAATATAAGTTGTTATAAATTTTTTTTTTTACTTAAACTAATATCTGGCACTATATAACCAATGCTGTGTTCTCACCATCACTTATTTTTGATTAATTGAAAAAAGTAAAATAAAAAAAAAACTTTCTGAACTGAAATAGAAATATCATATCTACGTGTAAATACATATATGTTTCTGTAACGCATATGAAGAGAAATACTGAGGTAAAATGAATGGAAATAAATATTAATTGTTGAAACAAACGAATTAAATAAAATAATACAATTATAACTGTAAGAAAATACTTAAGAGGACTTGTAACAGATCTTGGCTTTAAAATTAAAATCATTCTTAAGTTCATGAATTAATTATAGAAAGATAACGTAAATAAAATAATATATATATATATAAAAACTATAAATATGATAAAAAGTGAAATGAAATACATAAAACGAATGAACACCGTTGAAATATATAACCTTTATGATTGTGTAGTTGTTTGTCCAAATCTTTATTATAAATGTCAAATATATTTATTAGAAAATAAGTCAAAAATTTAATCGACTCCTAATTACGTACTGCGGAACTTCTATATCACGTTATTTATAAATTATCAATTTCTTTTATGGATATTGTATATGAATTTTTATTACTTATATTCGCTTACTATGATTGTATTAGTTAAAATTTAACTATTTTTTAATCAGTATATTTATAAATTCTAACTGAAAACAAATATGTAACTTTCCACTAAAAATAACTGCCGGCAAATGCTATTGCATTAAGTGAATTGATAATAATTATATATATATATGTTAATAATTTATAAAATTTTAATTAATTCAATATTTATATATTATTATTAATATTAATATTATAATTATTATCATTATTATTATTATTATTATTGTTTTGCTATACCTAATTAATCTAAAGTGATTTATAAAAATATGAATTAATCGTATAAATTCTTTAGCCTAGTCACAAAATAATAATGATAAAATAAAATAAAATAAAATGGATGATTTAAAAAATCACGACCAAGATTATTCATAAAAGAAAATGAGAGAGAAAGATAAAATATATTAAGTATAAAATGAGTGAGAAATAATTTGTTAATCATTGGGTGATGGAAAAAAACAACACTAATTTTAACTTATTAGTTTTTTGTTTAATGCGATGTTGTATGAAAATGCTTTTAAATAAAATATATTTAAGTATATAAAGGTATATGTACTTCTATTTGTCAACTTGGAGTAAACTCGAGTTTATTATTCACAGCTATCATTTAAATTTGCCGCGTTAGAATTATTTTTTAATTCACCACGAAGTCTTCAGGAAAATATGACAACTAAAAACTGATAAAAGTAAAAAGGTTAGCGGTGAAAAATTACCACGTGCATAGTGTTAAAAGTAGAAGTAAAAGTAGTAAAAGTGAATCTTTTACCAAATAATCATCCAAAGTTTATTAGAATAAATAAACCAAATTACCAAAATGTCAAAAAACGAACAAAATGGAACCGATGACATGAAAGTGGCTGTAGGAGAAATAGACGAAATAATGAAACGTTATGATGAAAAGATTCGTAACAAGTTGGTCTCTCATATTCTTTCATCTTGGTTGACTGAAAAAGCAGCTGAACATTTAGGTCTAGGTTTGATATATATAATTTCAATAGCAGTGTTCTCAAAAACATTTAAAATATAACACTAACAATAAAAATTTTAATTTATAACAATTGTAGATGAAGTTTTAGAAAATGATAACTATGTGGATGATGACTTTGACACCGGCGATATTTTGGATGACCCGATCAAGACTTTAGACAACATCGTTGCATCAATTAAACCCAAAGTACCTCGAAGCGGAATTTTGGAGTTAGAAAATTTCATTCAAACTGTAAAAGAAGCTTTCCATTTTTTTTTTTTTTTTTTTTTTTTTTTTTTTTTTTTTAACTCAAATGTATTGACTATTTAATGTCTAATTTTTTTCACAGAAAAACCCCGATGATTCCAATACAACGATTGAAATTGATTGTTTTCTGTACGACGATGAAGACCTCGACATTCTTGAAGACAAAGGAGAGCTGTCGCGTTACTACTGCGAAACATGTGGCTCTAAGAAAATAAAATTCTTAAGTAATTGATATAAAAATCCATCTACATAAATTTAGACTTACACAACTTGGAATTAATTCTAACTAATTATGATTTTTTATCATTTTAGATATTGAATCACATTCAATGTCCCGCGAAGAACTATTTGCTCTTTTCAACGATACCCTTCCTGTTCTTGTAGATAAAGTAGTCCTCGATGTGGGCTCACGTCTCGGTGCAGTTTTGTATGGAGTCAGTACCAATTTTAATTACCCATATCCAGTGCTATATAAGTCTAATTACATATAATTAATTCTATTATTTATTCTATTGTTTGCACCCACAGGCTTACGTATTTACTGATGCAGAAAAGATAATAGGTGTCGAAATGAACAAAGAATTTTGCGACATTCAAACAGAGGTGATCGACAAATTCAAAATGAATAAGAGAATCGAGGTGATCAACAAAAAAATTCAGGATTGTGCAGACGTACTAATTTCTGCGGATGTAGTTGTTTTAAACAATGTCTTTGAACCGTATCTTCCGAAAGAAAAGCATGCTGAGTTGTGGTATTTCTTCAAGGAACACATCAAGAAAGGCGCTTACATCGTATGCCGACCTCCAATTGAACACGCAGTGAAAGATTTGAATCTTAACATCGACGTTACCGAGTGGATCAAAAAAGTAGAGGCACTAAGTTTTAATGATACTACTGACGAAGGTGAAAATGAAGTTCCCAAGATTGATTTTCCGAGAAGTGGGATATCCTGCTACGTGGTTCTATAAGAAAATTTAATTTATTTAAGCATTTTTTTTAAATTAACTATCTACATTAATATTATATGATTAAACAAGCATCTGAGAGGCTAAAAATATCTTAGCGGCATTAACTGTAAGTATGAGGAAGTATCACATTTAAAAAAAACTATTTTAATTAGTAGTTCGTGTATTCAGCTGAGTGAAGGAAAATAATCCGTTATATATATATACAATATATTACAATATACAATACAAAATATATATATAGTATGCAATTGCATTCTATGGAGTCTTTATAAGTACCTAGACTGAAGCGTCGAGCCCCTTCTCTATCGTAAGTAGGAGAAGTCACTGGCAATATGGTCAAGTTCAAATCACGGGTTCAGTCGCCAATTGACTCACTATGGAGCTCATGCTAAGTGTTTAATCACCACAATTAATAACACTTTTTGTTACTATCGGAAATTATATTTTATTTTGTTAATTATTCAGCGCTGTTTTATTGTCAAAAGTCTAGAACTGTTATTAATTGTTGCTAATAGTTATGATAAAATGATACTATTAAATGAATAGGTAAGAGTTATTTTTTTACCACTTAAATAATAATTACGAGATTTTAAATAGTATTTTTTTAAATAACATGTAATAGGAAATAAAAATAATAGTGTGTAATTAAATAGAATGTTTGCTTCGTTGATAGCCAACTGTTGCTTGTTTATAACTCATATCACTTGTTACTCCGGTAGTCTAATTATGTCAAATGATAAACTAATTAACAGAATGATAAGTACAATCGTATAACTGGAACATGAACGAAAGCATATATTAATAACCTTCGAATTGACATTGACCCATTTCCATTTTTTAACATCGACCTTCAATTTATAACATTTATCTAGGTCTAGTTATGTTTTTTTTGTTATTTTTTTTTTTTGCGAAAAAACAGTTTAAAAAACTATCCAGACAAAAATTTGAGATTGTTATTTAAAGCCGAAATTAGTAATCCTTTTGTATAAATTAAATTACACGATAATTGTGCATTACAGTTGTGTGATTTATTGTGTGGCTTGTTGGTATGAAAGAACAAGTGTGATGATCCATCAACTCGATCATTATTCTCCCCGGGAAAAAATGAATTCGCCTAATCATATATATTTATATATGATTATATATTGAATATATAGAATTATATATAATTATACCTGAATTTTTATATAAAATATATATAATCATATATAGACTAATATATTGTATGTATATTTTATATAAGTCTGTATATGATCAGATCTAAGTTATCCAGGTCTATATACGATTATATATACTATATATAATTAGATCTGATTAGACCTGAGTTATTTAGGGCTATATATGATTATATCTGATCAGATCTAATTGATATTCCAGCTGTCGGGTTATAAAAAATGTCAAAAGAAAATTGCTATTTTTGCTTTTGATTTTAAATAAATATTTGTAAACTGTTAACAAATATTTATTAACATTTAATAAATCGTATTTAATAAATAATTTATTAACTGGTAATAAATATATATTAAATCCCATGATGTTAAAAAATCACTTATTAACAGTTAATAAAGCTCATTAAATATAAACAAATCCTTCTATCAATATCAGTGTAACTATATGGAAATCATATATAATTATATATGAATCATATATAATTATATATGAATCATATATAATTATATATGCATTTTGTGATTACTATAAAACATTCTCTATTTTCATCTTAGAGTCTGCTACTCCAATGATTAATAATCTTTTAAATTATAGTTTTTTGTGGATGAAATAATGGAACTGTATTAATTAATTTAACTTATAAAAATCGATAATGTATTCGATTTGCATTAGTTGTAGGTATTTCAAACTTTTCGTAGGTAAACAAGCAGCGTGTTAGTCTTTAAAGCGTCAGGTCCCCGGTTCGATCCCCGCTCACGGTGAATTTTTTTTTTATTTTTATAGAAATAATTATATATGATTAGATCTGGCCAATTTTAAGATCTAATTATATATAAGTGATTATATATAATTATATATGATTAGGCAAATTCATTTTTTCCCGGGTCATGAAATATCGGAATATTAAAAGTATGAAAAAAACTGTGAGGCAAAGAAAAAAAATGAGGATCATTAATTAAAATCATGCGGTAAATGTACTTGAGAAAAAATTATCCAGTAATAAACATGCTGTCAATTTTGTATATTAATTGCATTGGTGCTAAAAGACGCATGTCTAGATATATGTATATGTAATATGTGAAACTTATTTGAGTTGTCTTATTGACGATGTCAAAGATTAAGTCTGATCACATTCACTCTTAAATTGATGCATGCGGATATTACACTCCACGTGTTTGCTAACTGTTACACAATATCATGGGGGTAAATAAAGTTCTGCATACTTTAATTTATATTTATTTATACAATTTATAAAAATAAAAACAATTTATACTTTACGCAACGTTTTTTCACACGACAAATAAATAAAAAGTAAAATATGCAGAAATAACTTGCGTGGGTCTTTATTAGAGAATTTGGTGTTTAATAAATTTTCATTTAAAAATTTACGTACAAACTAATAATATTTTTATTGTAATTGAAAAACTTTATCATTTTATATAATTAATTTTTTAAAAAAGTGCCATTATAAAAGTAAAGATACCAAATATATTTTTATCACTCAAAGTGAAATCTTAAAAAGTCTTTTAAAAAAAAACTATTATTGTGAATTTTGTACGGCGTTTATAATAAAAATATAAATAATAAATCATTATTGTTTATGTTATTGAATTATTGAAAAATAATCAACCGATTAATATAAAATTTAAATAATTATCAAATAATAAAAAAAATTACCAATATATTTGAAGTGTTTACTTCAATGAATATTTATTTAGTAATCAAATTTATATGATAATTTTTTTTTTTAGTCGTACATAGGTAGTTATCGGAGGTCTTGCAAATTAAAAAAAAAAATAAGAACTAAAAGTTAATTAACCAACAACTTGTTTACATATTTAATGGTAAAAATATCTAGCGTATCTACAATACTGAAATTTTCATTACACTAACAAGGACACTTGTTACAATAACTTACTATTTACTGCAATATATAATAAGAATGTTTATAAAAAAAAATTGGTGTTAGTATTAATACCTACTTCTTCATTACTAATATATATTATATTAACATATGTGTAAATGATAATTAATAACATTATATAAACATTAAAACTAAATAAGGAAACATGAATAAGTGACGATAATTAATGGATTTAACTTATTCTCATTACAATTTGTCAACAAGTGTCCAATGATAATTTACAGTTATGTGTGTATTTTACATATTTATGTCAAGTTTGTTAAAAATTATATTGTCCATTATAAACAAACATATATATAATAGGATAATTGAATTAACTAAGTCGATTAATGTTGTAGTTTCTAAATGCGCAACATTCCTTTGCTTTTGATTAACTTTTTCAAACTAGACCAGATACATAAGTCATAAAACAAATAAATAATAAAATTTAATTGACATTTATAGTACAATTTCTATATTTTTGCAATTTGTAGTTACACTTGTGATCAAATTTTTGCATATTGCGCTTCATTTATTAAAAAATAAATCAACAGTAAGATAAAGATAAAAATTGAAGTTTATTATGACTATTTTATAATTTATAAATTCCAATTAAGCTCCTTATCTTTAAGGGTAAATAGTATGAATGGATTGTTAAATTGCTCTGATTTTAACAATTGAAGTAAATAACACAATTCCTTATATGTACCTATAGAATGTTGATAATCGAGGATTAGAATTCATCCATTAATTCAGGACGAATGAATGTATACAATAGTTATATCTATATGATGAGTTAAAGTGGTCAAAGGGGACATTTGGTTGGTTGACAAGATAATAGAGTGATTGTAAGTACTGGTATTGCTGAATAAAGATAAAAAGAAAAGAATAAATGATAGCGTACAATAGTTGGGTGTACTTGTAGTTGAAATCTTGTTTCTTCGTATAAGTGTACCGTATACCAGCATATATCAGTATCGCGGTATTCTCTGACGCACGTGTGACGTCAATAAAGTTGAGAGACAAGAAGTTGGAGCATAGAAACCAACTACACCGTGTACGCCTGATGATGATATATGTCTCTTTTACCAAGTAGAATAACTTTTAATACAACTAACTCTTCTCGCCTGTAATATTCTTCTTTGCGCATATATGTATTCCCACACACATACATTGTTATTATTAGTAAGTATTATGACTGTTCATACATATCCAATACATAAAGACACACATCAAAGATCTTATTGCCGTCCTCATTTTTTTCATCCGCAACACATAATTTTTATCTAGTCACTCGTACGAGTGAATTCATAACTTCTTTAAAGATATCCAGGCTTACAATAATATATGATACATTTATAATCTTCTTTATGTATATATTTGTATTCAAATTCATACATACAAAAACTATATATCTGCAAATAAAAATAAAAATTCTGTATAATACTTAAACAAAGAAAATTAATCAGATCAATCGTTTAAATATTCGATACATGAATAAAGAGTATACTTATTTGTGTATTAAAAAAATGAATACAAGTGTTACGCCAGATATCAAAGACCTAAATCATTTGAGTTTTTATTATTTAAAAAAATTCACAGCCAATCAGTTTAACTTGTAGGTATATAAGATTCTTGTTAGTCACACGGATATGAAAATTAAGTTAGCCGACTTTTAAAAATTTTTAGATTTTTTTTTATTGAAAAAAATTATTAC